ATTTGGCATTTGTTGTTCGATTCCCTTGGGTCAGCTGCCTTGGCCGAGCATTTTATTTGATTATTAAATTAGATTTCTGTGCGGTTTCCATTTGGTGACTTGTTTCCTTGCTGGCAGTTCTTTGTGCCCGATTCTTTGCTGTTTGCCGTGCGACTCATTAAATATTTCTACGCAATTTTTAGCTTGTTATTCTTGCACTTTGGCTGGGAACATCAAAAAGCGCGTGAAAAAGTTTGGCTCAACAGCGGAAAATATATTGCTAGAAAATTGCACTCAACTTATATTTTTTCCAGATTTTTTCATGTGTTTTTCTTCTTTTTTTTTTGTTTTCCCCTGGTTGCTTTGACAATTGTTTGCGCTAACGAAGTCGCTTTGTTTTTTCTTGTTGTTGCTTCTGTACTTTATTTTCTCTCTCGTTTTGTTGCAACTTTTCAATTGTTTGGCTTCTGTCATTACCTTTGACACGGCTTTAGCAACTTGCCGTTGCCTTTTCACTGTCGCCGTCTTTTGTCTTTCGCGCTTTTGTGGGCCGAGCCCTTTGATCTGCCGCCGCCGCTGCATTTCTATTAATTGTGCTGATGGTTGGCGATATGATGTGATGCGCTGAGTGCTGCAAGCTGCAACAATAGCAGCTCTGCCATGCCCCAAGGCCATTAAAGGGAGAGTGCCTCCAGCAAACAGTTGCTTGTTAAATTTAATTGTGAACATGAAGTATCAGAAGCAAAATCAATCAGAATTATGTCTGATCGTAGATAAAGGGTTTAGAGTTTAGAGTATTTTAAGGCTTTCAAAGTTAGCTCTAGCTGATATACTCCACGTCTTTCATCACATCCAGAAGACATTTGACATACATAGCGAGAGCTGAACACGTATGCAAAGCTACTTGACCTTGACCCAAATGCATAGCCCTATTCTTTGCCAACAAAGGACTTAGTCGTTGTTGCGCGACCCTAATTCAGGTTTGGCTGCATATGTGTAGAAACGTGCCACAAGTTGCAGTTGCAACATATGCAACAGTTGACGCACGACCTTGAGCTAATTCAGCTGCACTCGAGTTCAGCTGCCTATAGGGTCCTCAGTCCTTAGCTTACGTCGAGTTTGCTTAGTTATCGCCGGCTTAAAGCTGCGCCCCAAAGCGCTAGAAAAACTTAAGCAGAAATTGCTTCCACTTAATAAAGCACACTAATGATGACCGCAGAACCCAATGAAATGCACTTGAGCACGTAGCAAGCAGCATGAGACCACTTCAGCTCCGTCTGTTTGCAGTATTTATGTAATACTACTTATCAAAGAATAAGCGAAAAGGTACTCTAATTTATTTTTAATAATGTCTTTCAAGCATTTGCGTCTGTAAACATGGGCTTCGTGTACTTTCAATTACGTGCCTAATACGAAGGACTTTGATGCTGCGATTTATGGACATAGGCTCAATCTAGTTATCAACTAGATGGCGATGGTATTCAATCAAATATTTGCCAAGCAGAAATATGAAATATTCTGTCTATATAGCAACAACATGTGATTACTATTGACACTTGCTTGGGTCTGTGTAATGCACCCTACAATGACGCAACAAGCAGCAGTGTTCGTTGTAGTCGACTGCACAATACTCGTTCAAAGTCTGAGAAGCTGATGTGAAAATTGATATTGTTGCGTTTGCCGGGTTTCATTTTTTATAAGCCTGTCTGTAGACAAAGTCAGTGGCTATCGACCCGATCCAATCGCTCTAGATGAGGTAAACCTATGGCAGAGCAAATTCTTTTCCATCTTAAGTGCCGTTAAGTCTTCTGCCAAGCTTCCTATTATGTGTATCGTAATTATTCCTTGGAAGGCATAGTAATTTTCTCTTAGTCCCAAGCTGAGTTGGCATTATATTTACATCATACATTTTTTGGTCTACCTACAGGAAAGGTTACTCGCCAATTTGGGTTCCTTATGAACTTATACAAATTTTAAATCAACAATTTTTATCTATATATAATAACTACTATAATCTCTATATAATATCGACTATACTGTAAATATTTAAATATTTCTCATCTTGGCTCACCTCCAGAGAAAGTTTCAAAGAAAGTTTCAGAGAAAGAAACAATCGAAGGTACAGAAGAGATATATTCCATATTTCCTTAGCTAATCAGTTCGACGAATTTATGGCAAGTCAAAAACTGCACCAAGCCAATATGCTCTACTCACTACATGAACGGGTATATATATATATATATATAAAAAAAACTTGAACATGTAAAAAATGTAAACTGTTTATTTATGGGTCACTTTACCCCCAGCTGGGCACACACATGCACTTAGGGTCTGCTTTCACCAGTTTCGAAAAAGAAAAAAAAAATAAATAAAAAGGGTTGCCACCCATCAGCAACATCATCATGGCAAATGAGCTCTGGTATCATGTGTGTGCGAATGCAAACACAAGTGCAAAATCTCGAGGGAACATTTGATTGAATTCAGACAGTTAACCGCTTCTAATGCGCATTTCTTGGCTTCGTGTTTTTGATTTTTTCCTTTCAGGGAATCCATAATCCCCATTGGTTATCTGCGTAAAAATATCAAATTTTTGAAAACCATCTTCGGGCCAGTTGATTTAGCAAATGCTATTTGTTTTTTTTTCTTTTTGCTGGGCTTTGATTGATATTATTATTGATGCTATTGATTGATGGAGTTTAAAATCTGTGTGGGGTTTTACGAAATTAAAAAATCAGCTTAGCAACTGCCCTGCAGTACTACTCTATTTGCATTACACAGTAGCGGGATTTCACTCTTTCTCTCTCTTTCCCTCTCTCTTTCTTTCTCTGTCATCCTGCCCCGAAGGCCTTTTATCAGCCGCCACGCGACATTTTTCCGCATCGATTGTGCGCTTGGTCCATGGAGTTGGGCGTGGCAGGCTTTGTCTGACAACTGGCTTTGATCTGTGCCATCTACTTATGGGTCTATGCAATTTGAATACCGCAGCGAAGGTGGCAGACCATTGTCAATGCCATATGAATAGCTCTGCCAGTTATTAGCATTGATGAAAGTAGCATTAAGCAGCGATGAGTCTGAATGTGCGCTGAGACTTAGCAATCAATAGAGCAGTGTCTACTTGAAGGCTACATTTAGTTAGGGTTGTATTCAAACTTAGTAATTATATATTGATTTATGTGGAGTATTTATGTGGAGCATGACAAAAGGCTAATCAGCTGAGCTACTCCAGTCTAAAGAAACTATCACAGCGGAAAGTTTATTGTCAATAATTGATTTACGTGCGCCAAGATCTTGCAAAACTGATCTTCCTGCTGATATATATATATATATATATATATGTTGCAAAAATTATTATAGCAGTTTTCAATTTCTGCAATCAGAACCGCCTAATCATCAGTCTTTGCTCATTTGAGTGAACAGCAATTCATGTCTCAAATAGTTGCCCAAAAATTATGTTGATACTTGGCTTAGATACAAGTTTAGTAGGTAAAGCTCAAATTGTTGCAAATTGTTCAAATTTCTCTGAACTGTGGAAAAATATAAAAAATATAAATAAATAAAAAATAAATTTCGATTTCCAACACTAGTCATAATTTAATTAATAATAAGATTAATATCAGAGAAATAAATATATTGTTTTATCTAATAGTGTTTTAGTAGTAGCTATCGTAAAAATAGTAGCAGTAATAGTAGTAGAAGAAGTAGTAGTGATATTAAGGGTAGTAGTAGTCGTAGTAGAAGTTGTCGTAGAAATAGTAGCAGTAGTTTAAGTATATAAAGCAGTAATAGTAGTAGAATCAGTAAAACATCAGTATCAGTATTGTATTAGTATCAGTAGTGCTAGTGGTAAAAATAATATATCGGTATCAGTTGCACTAGTAGCATCAATAGGTCTGCAGTATCAGTAGTACTGGTAGTACTAGTAGTATCAGTAATAACAGTTGTATCAGTCAGCAGTATCAGCATCAGTAGCACTAGTATTAACAGTAATATAACAGCATCAGTATCACTGGTTGTATCATTAATACTTACATAAAATAGTAGTATCTATAATAATGTTACTACTATTAGTTGTAATCATCTTAATCATATTTCAAAGGACAATGTGATTATTAGATACTTCACCATAAACAAATTGACTGTAAATAAATAATTTAAAAAATTTTTTAATTTTCTGTTAATTAATTTAAGTTTTATTATGCATATATATGTATATAATTATTTTACGCTTATAATTAATTTACATTATTTTATATATTTTAATATTCTTTCTTTTACCATTTGGCTGCTTGTTGCTCTGTTAAGATCTCTATTGTTTTCTTGTACTTTGTTCATGCTCGTGACACGAAAATGTATTTTTGTGGTTTCATTGTTCGAAAATCGCGTAGTCTTAGGTATATTGCTTACGTTAATGGACCTAGAAATGAATACACATACATGAACATCGACTACATTTAACAGCAAAATAATTATACAAAAATATATTCATATATATATATTATAATATTTCCATAACTAGTGTAAGAAGCCAACTACCTAAAAGTGAAATCGATGCGATTCGTTTGTAAATAGACACCAAGAGAGTTTGTTGTTGTAAAAGTTTGTAATTATGGGCTTAGGCTAATGTTTATATATAAACTGTTACACATCTATTAGTAGAAAATTGGACTTAAGTTTAGGTTCGTATTTGTGTCTGAAAACTAGCTGCTGCTGCTGCTTGCACTGGGCCGACCATTGTGATGAAAGTTAATTCAATTAAACTAAACTAGAAAAATATTCATCTCATCTACTCATATATCGGAATTAATTTTGATGCTTAAATAACTTTACCAAAACAGTGAGCACTTAAAATATTTTTAGCAAAATTATTTATCACATTTGCGCTTATCCAAACATTTCAAATCAGCCTTCGACACAAACTGTTTACTTTCTCGAGCGACGGCAAAACTCAGATTCGATGACTTGTTCCAGAAATGAAAACGATATACGAAACTAGGAAACTCTTTTTCTTTTTGTTATTGTTTTTTTTTCTTTCAATTTTTGTGATTTTCGCGAATCGTTCACATAAATCTCTCTCCAATCCATCCTCTCTCCCCGTTCAGCTTAGGGAGCGCTAGTTCTCACCAACGAAAAGTAATCACAAGTTGCGCTTAGGAGCCATCAGGGGCCTCGTTTTGACGGGGGCCTTGAATTCGTAGTTGATGTCGTTTATCATCGTTTGTTGTTCTCTTTAGTGACGCTTTACTGCGCTTGCGGCTGAATTTGCACGGTGGCCGTCAGCTTGGTGGTTTTGCCTGGCTGCTGTTGCTTCTTCTGCTGCAGATAGAACTGTTTGAGCACCTTGCACATAGCTAATGCAAGCATTTTCCACACTAGCAGCTGCTCCTCTGTTGTGGGCGGCATCTCGTTATCGGTGGATGTTGCCTGTGTGTGACTTGTTGCTGCCGCTGGTGGCGCCTCGTAGTCCACCTGATCGTAGCCAGCATCGCTTGTATACGCTGGTCCGTCCACCTGATCACCGTCGGCAATTTGGCTGGCATCTAAGTTGACTGCCGCCGCTGTCGCCGTATCCGGTTCATCTTCGTAAAATGGTATGGCCATAGCGCTCTGGATTACGTCAAAATTCAATTGGCGCTGCTTTCAATTAGCTTGCACTAGATCCTGTGCTGTTACTGCTGCTGGTTGCTGTTACGCACTCGGGGCTAGCTGGCGTTCGACTGACTCGCACGGCGTCAGGGCCAGCGTATTTATACCCGGGAAATGCCTACGACACTCGTGACAGCAGCAGCAGCCGAACGAAGGGACAACAACCCACCACCAGAGCCCTAACCCAATGCCAGGCGCCCACCCCACAGCAGCATAGCGCGCACACGAAGAGAGAGCGAGCGAGTGAGTGAATGTGCTCTGCGCTCACGTGCATTTCCGTAAGGATTCGCTCGCTCTCTCTCACTCTCTCGCTCTATGTCTATCATGCGTTGTGCTCGCTCTCTGCTCTGTGACTGCTGCATGTGCCGTTATGTCAGCTACTTTTCGACCTCTCGCCTGCATCACGTGCTGTAAATGTTCGCGCTTAGCTTCACACTTGTGGCATCTTACGTTTACGTATAACGTAACGCGTTACGTAGCTCGCATAGTTCCCCTGTTTCGTGCATACTGTGAGGGGTAGTTGCTTATTCGATGTTCGAAAGTTCGAACCTTCAGTATGGACTGGGTTGCTGCTTACTCGATATTCGAAACTTCGAACAGGGGAATTCGATTTGGTTCGAATTTGCTTTTGCTCCTGCTTGTGTCGTGTGCCTTGTGTGTTTCCTTTGGCTGGGTGTCCTTGACCAAATTCCTTTGGCTTTGTCTTTGTCTTCAGGCTCAACTATGCAAACTACGTGAGCTGGGAGCCACACATTGCACATATGTGCTAGATTTTCTTATACATTCTGCGATGTTCTCAAAAAGGATTTATGCAATTTTTCCTTTTTCTTTTTTCTTTTTGTTAAAGGCTTCGGTACATCCGTTGGCTCATTCAATTTCAAGTTTTACATATTTTTACAACCGCAAAACAATCAGGCAGCATTTCCACGCCACATAACACGAATATTTTATGATAAAAAGGAGTGCTGACTTCTACTTCTTCTGCTCCTTCTTCGCATACCATTCAACTCTGGCATGCCACACCACGCCCTAACCAAATCAATTCCACAAATCAACATAATCAACTTCTCGCCGTAAGACCACACATAATGCACTTGCTGAATTTTCTTCTTTTCTTTGCCGAAAGAAAATAAGTGCCGTAAAAAAATGTAAAAACTTTTTTTATAGTTGCTGCTGCTGCATAAAAAAAATGTAAAATAAAATGCGGCGAAATGGCAGCAAAACTCTAAAGGTACAACAAAAGAAAATGACTCTGAGAAAAGGGTCAACAAAGGGCACGCCAGCTGGGCAAGAGCTACTCCTGCTTCTGCTCGATCCTGCCAGCTCCTGATAATGACATTATACATTTGTTGGTTCAACCTCAAAATCCAAATCAAAACCCATGATCTAATTTGCTGAAACCTACAACAGATTTTGCTACATCTGGTATCACTTACCTGGACTATACCTGGGCGCTAGATAGAGAGCGGGAGAGGCATGGGAAGGGGGTTGTGGACGAAAAAGGAATGCAGAAATGTTCAAAAGCAAAACAAAGAAGAAATTGTTTTCGCTTAAAAGAACATTCAAATGGAAATGTTCTGCTTGGCTCAACACAAACAACAAGTGCAGGCAAACAAACTGCATTTATTTAGTTAACAAAAAAAGAAAAAGGAAAAAGGAAAAATACACAGTGAAGAAAAGAATACACCATTTGAGTAGCTCGATAGGACGGCAGACACACAGACAATGCATAAAAGTGAAGTGCGCCCCGGCGCTGCGGAGGTGCAGCAAGTGGAATACAAGTGCCATCAAAACTTTCAGCTAGATTCACGCACTCTGAATACTCTGCAATCACACAATACAATTATATATATATATATATAATAAACATTTAAGCTGATTATATAGCCTTGTAGACTATCAACTTTAGTTCTTAGATTTATTAAGGTCTTACGCATGTGTTAGACATAAAGCCAAAGGCTTTAAAAACACCTTGAAGATGGAATAACTTTCTATTTGAAAAATATTAATTGATTCTAGAGCTAGGAGGCAACTGAGGTAGTAAGTTTATAATATAATAATAAATAAAATAATAAATATAAATATTAATTACATAAGTTTTTAGAGCTTGCTGAAGGCACTTAGCATTTTGAAGCATAATTAAATCTTGAGGCTTCTTTGTTATGAGCGGCTGATGCTGATGCATTACTGTTGACAACATGGCCAAGAGGCAGTTTTTTGAGAGTCCATTAAAGTTAATTAAATACTTTGTTAGCCATCATTGAGAACTCGAAACTGCTATAAACATGTTTTCATTCATACATTCATTCATTCATTCATTCAGCCAACAGCTGACCTTTGCGCTAAATGAAGTCAAATGAAGCCAAAACCTAAAATCAAAATATTTTTTTTTTGTGTTTTTATTTTTATTATTAAGTGTAGAACCTGTATAATCAAAATAAGTACCTTAACAACACATGTATATATATGGAATTAGGGCCAAACGTCAGTCATATTATGAGCAATTAACATCAATATATATATAAATTATATATATATAAATTTCTAACTAGATTAGGCATTTCTTGTCAATCAAAAATGTTGGCTTACGATATATATGCAATGACATAATACCCTCTCTCTGCACTCTAAGTCAGGCCTAGAGCAAATTCAATTGCAGAAGAGAAAACGTATAGAGTCACATAATATGCTGCAGCTCTTTGTCAGCATTGCACACCTGTAGCAAACACAGTCACTTGCCACATGCACCCCTTCAGCACACTCTTATGTTGCATAGTGTATTTTTGGAAAAGAAAAAAGTGTAGCATAAAAAGCAGCGTCGTCATCGTCGTCGTGGCGCACTTTGTTGCCTTCTGGCTGTCAGATTGATATTAAATTATATACCTTATTATCATTTTGCTGCTGCTGCTGCTGCTGCTGCTATGCTATCAAGTAACACATGTGGGCGTGGCACTGGCTAAAGCCATGTTTATTTACAGCTGGCAACAATTGTTGCTGCATTGTAGAACGAATGCACTTCGCGGCGTTCGCTACTCAAGTCAAAGTCAAGCGAGAACACACACACACACACACACACACACACACACGCACACACACACACACACACGCACACACTTCACATGTGGCTGCTGCTCGGTTGCATTTGTTGTGTAAATTTGTTGTTATTTTTCAACAACAACAGCAACAGCAATAACAGTCAACAGACAACAGACAACAACAGGAGCTACGTCCTCATAATATGCTTGATGGCTGCGCGCGCTCAAGTGACATTAAATGGCTGCCATTTGGGTTGAGTTTGAGCTGCAGTTGGGTTTCGGTTAAGGGTTTTGGCTTCGCTCTGTGCACATAAAAGTGGCTCAAGTGGCCAGCAGCTTTAAGGCCAAGCTGAAAGCATTTTAAAGCACCCGCTCCCGCTCCATAGCCAGTATAAAATATTTATTTTTAGTTATTCACGTTTATGCACGCTTTTATAATGGTTATCAAAATAAATTGGCAGCTCGATATGTAATAAAGGCTAGAAGATTCCATTGTTGAACTCCTAAGCCCTGAAAGTCTTTTATTGCAAATAGTTTATTAGCTTAGCTGGAGCAACCAAAAATGAGACCACTAATTAACAAATTGATTTATGGAAATTAAACTGACAAATCTCCAGGGGGATCTGCAGGGATCAGGGTTTACAGAAGAGAAAAACTCATATGCAAATTTGAAGCGACAGTTGCAACCCTTCAGAGTTGACTTGACTTGACTTGAGTTGGCCAAATCCGCCACCAGTGCGTGCTGGTTACTGGCTTTTAATTAAGGTGTCTTCATGGCAACAACAACAGCCTAATTCGAGTGGTAAATGAGTCTAATTAATAACGAAGCATTTGCCACATAATTCATGCGAATTGGCAAAGCTGATGAGGCTGCTATTCAAAACTTTTCTCTTCTCTCTTTTTTTGTGGTTTGAGTAATCAGTTTTAAAGCCGTCTGTCAGTTGGCCCAAATTGAGTTGGGCATTTGGCATTTCCACTGGCCACATTTGGTCAGGTTTTCTATGCATGTTTTTCCGATTTTTCTTGTGTTTAACCATTTTTTGGTTCGCTCCTGATGACTTAAGTCCGCTTGTCTGGCCAGCGAAAATTTATGGCCTAGACGATATGTTCGGTTACTTTTTTTTTTGTTCCTGGGCTGCGGCGTAATTTATGCAAATTGTTGCCTCTTCCACTGGAGGCGAAGCAAGCGCAATTAATTGTTCTGGGCGGCAGTTCAATCATATCCTTAATCCCTTAGGTCTTCGTGTGTGATGTGTTCGTCTATTGTTTTCTTATGCTCTTGTTCTTGATGTTCTTTTGTTGTCTTTGGGGTTTCATTATAATCGAATTTGAGCGATAAACTCAACAATGTCCGTTTCCTTGACTCGTAATTTACATGTCCTGGCCGTAACCAAAACCCAAACTAAATAAACATTTTCGGCCAGAGCAGCAACAAAACATCAAAAGCATATAATTTATGGTTCGTTAGGTCAAGGATTCTGAATGAGCAGCAACAGCAGCCTGTCAGCAAGTCAAGAGAGAAACGCTTTGGCTTTGTCTCTTATCTGCCCCAGGGCCAGGACACTTTTAGCTGTTGCCGCTTGGCCCTTATGCAAATCAACCTTTTCTCATCCATCGTGATGTGTTCAAAACTTGCGTATTCATCTTCGTCAGTTCTTAGTGCTTGGTATTTACTTAGTGCTGCTTGGATGAGGTGTTGGTTTGGCTATTAAATGGAAATTATACAAAAGCCAGCAAAAACATCCTTGTGATTTGCCAGCTAGCCAGTGGGAAAACTGTGTCCGATCACATGTGAGATGTGCTTGAAATTTATGTGTGTCCAGCTTAGACCATAAAAAAGGACAAGTCCCTTGAAGAAACTGCGCGATTAGTGTGTGCGTGTGTGTGTGTGTGCGTGTGTAAAAGTTGGTCTGCATTTGGGGTGCCCAGTTGATGGCCAATACAAAAGGCAGCCAAATTTGAATGAATACCCCGACGGGAGACCGGGCTGAATGTGTGGCATTTCAATGGTCAAATAAG